ATCCTGAAGGTTGACTGCTTCAGTGGAGCTTTTACACATCTGCGGTTTCATTTAAATCTCTGGTTTCATAGAAACCGTGTAACACCTGTTCTTTCTTATACACGACGAGTCACTCCTGAGTTTCCACTCATGCTGAAGGTGAACATTTTCTCCAACCCCATCTCCAGCACTAGCTGCAGAAAAAGATACAGAATGGAAACTAGCAGGTCAGAAAAGGCCAGTCTCTTCAGCCTCATGGGGAAAATGAGTATTCATGGTCCCGCCCACCTTAGCTTAGTACCGCCCACAAAAGGGAGAGAGCAGAGCACGTCTCAGCAAGTAGAAGCTAACCGTTAGCAACTCCACAACATGGTGGAACACGTTCAGGTTTGTGTTGTTTGTAGAGACAAATCATCATCGTTACATTTTTACCCAAGTGTGAACGAAGGCAGCGGAAGAGTCACGTTGCTGTTAGCCAGTCAGAGGCGAGATGTTTGCGTATCATCAAAATTGATGGACTCACATTCCTGTCGTTTACAGCCACCATCCCCCACCCCTACACACACACACACACACACACACACACACACACACACACACCACTAACAAACTTCAGGAGCACAAGATCTTTTTTCCCACTCACAAGGCATTCATTCACACTAAAGACCACGGAATGAGAGCTTCAGGCTATGAAACAAACTCAGTATAGCGTTATCATCATTATTAGCATCGGTAGTAGTTTAACAAAAAATAAACACAACCAGGCTTACCGTTTGACATGAAATGCTGTACGGAGGCGGTCCGGTGTCCGTACGGCTTCCAGATGGACTGCCACTGACTGCGGTTTTCCCACAAGGGCACCAAATGATTAGAAATTTGACATAATATGTTTAAGAATATACTTGCAAAAGTGATGTGAACTGTCATACACCGTACACGGATTTCATTTAGAAATATACCGGCTGTTCCTCACTGGAACACGTCTCACTTCCTGTCTGGCTCGTGTCATGTCTTTAGCTTCATGATGATCTGGCATCAGAAAGATTTCTGAACCACAGCCAGTGTGAATGCTCTGACTGGACCCTGTGATTTTTGATCCATGCAGAAACTGGACCGCATTCGGTGTGAATGAGGGCTAATGCTAACATATAAGGCTAACGTTCGTGTCATCGGTCCATCTCCTGCAGAAATGTCCTTCTCCCTCCTGACATTAAGGACAAAGCGTCTCCCGTCCCTTTGCTCTAAAGCAGGGATTTCCAAAGTGTGGTGCTGCGCGAGCTGCCGCTAGGGGGTGCGCGAGCTGCCGCTAGGGGGTGCGCGAGCTGCCGCTAGGGGGTGCGCGAGCTGCCGCTAGGGGGTGCGCGAGCTGCCGCTAGGGGGTGCGCGAGGTGAAAAGTGTAATGGCTGCGGAGCTCAGAGAAGTCTGTCATATGTCACCATTAGCGTAGCCAGAAACTCATTTGTGGGTGGGCCTAAGAAAAAGTAAGTGGGCACAATAAATGTAATTGAAAGCAAGTATATTTTTGCGCGCGTGTCCTCCACATGTGCCCTAGCTTCATAATAACAATGCGCCGAGCTTCAGCACTCTGGCCTGCGCACGCCGATATGTTCCGTATTTGATCATTTTTAACGGTGTTGGAGGAATCTGAAGGTGGCGAGTCATTCTGGCAGATTGTAATTAACACCTGTCTCATGCAGGTGTTCTGACATTGTAAACCTCACACACAGAACATTGTGGATGTAGCAAAATAAATCAAGACATGATTCCCATTCAGGCGCTGAAGATCTGAAGTTCAGAGTGTGTATGTCAGAGGTCAGATGCGTTCCAGCGGAACCACGGCTCACAGGTGCACAAGTGAGCACATCTGGGCTGGGCGGAAGTAATTTTACAACATTGGTTTAAATAGCGCCAAAAACGAGACGCGGTGACTGGAGCGGCTCATGGAGCTGTGCCGCGCACGCACACACACACACACACACACACACACACACACACACACACACACACACACACACACCCAGATTCAATAAGCAGGCACGCTGCACAAACTCCGGCACGCCATCAGACTGAAGGCAGAAATGAGTGCTGCCTCCTCCGTGATAAAAACTTAAGAGGTTTTATAACAACATTTTTCATTCCAGGTCAAATTAAGATATTAGCTTCTATTTTGGGATGACGTATTAAAGTCGAGTCCGCTCCAGCCAGTGACTCCAAACCTGACTACAACTCCTGTTACTGCAGCATTTGTTATTCCAGTCCGCGTGGCAGCGGATCGCAGATTCAGCCACACCATAAAACAGCAATAAGTCGGTCTGAGGCAAAAGTGAACATCATGGCTATATCTTTTCCATCTTTTCCCCTATAGACATTTGATTACGCACAAGTAGGTGACCAGCTCAGGTTTACGCAGAGCAGAAGGAAGAAGAGAGCTCTGGCCACAGGTTAAACGTTCCTACTTTAAGAAAACCGTTAAATTGCATTATGTGCTACCTGGGCACTCTAAATATTTATTTAAAATTAATTCAAAGGAAATTGTAATGTATCGAATGTTTATTAATTACTATTTAAAAAATGATATATAGCCATGCCATGATATGGGGGCTGGGGGGTGCGTCGACATGGTCGGGACATAGAAGGGGGTGTGCGGCTAAATAAGTTTGGGAACCACTGATCTAAAGCAGCACAGGGATGTCTTGTCGGTGCATTTTAGGAAACAGAAGTCTGAGTATTTACTGGAAGTCCTGCATAACCCAGAACTGATGATTACATTTTCTTTCCCTGGCCAAGATGGCTTCGAGCGTGTTTTAGACGCAGTGATGATCATAAAAACGGTGATAAAACAGCACATTTAAACTGTTTCCTCTGAACTAGCATGTCCAACTCCCCGAGGGCCTCTATCCAGCATGTTCTAGTTGTTTCTCTTCAACACACCTGGTTAAATAATTAAATCACCTGTTCAGCATCATCAGACTCCGCTGAATCCTGTTAATCATCTACTGATTAAAATCAGGTGTGTTGGAGCATATCTTAAATATAGAAAAATACAACCCATAACATTGTTCTAGAACTTTTGTAATCCATTTAGTTTTATTGTTTAATCGTTTCTCCTTCAACTAAAGAAAAAATCAGATTTTGAGTTAATGAGGTGCTGATGGTTTTATTTCACAGCCGGGTTCTCATGGGCGCCGCGCTTCGACCCGTTAATACAACAAATTATAAGTTCAGCTGCTGCTGTTCTCCAGTGTTTGGCTCAAGGGCACGTTGGTGTTTCCTAGTCTTCAGCTGCTGATTCTGATGGTGAACAGAGCAGACGTGAATCAGAAACCAAAGCCTTCCTCTTACATAGATGCATATCATCTTTCCTCAGAACAAAATCATCTTAAATCTTTCTGTTCTTATCTTTTTGAGTTCAGAGTTGATCCACAGAGCCGAGCTTCTGTGTTTGATTTGAGATAAATCTGGATTATTTCCATGTTTTTGGATAAAAGCAGAATTTTCACATTAAACCTTAATTATTGATGCAAAGATCAGAGCACAGGCCACATCTTTATGTTAGTGATGTAAGTTTTGTACCACACGTCTGGGACTGACGCAGAAATTTCACTCGGCTGTTTAGCTTTATTGTTTTGTTATGGATTAAATATTCCAAACTCTGGACTTTCGTATGTAAATAATAGAATATTTGACAGAAGCGGGTAAAGTGAGCAGCTAAAAATCATGTCACGTTGGCTTGTTATGCGGGCGTGTGAGAAAGGTGAGTCTTTTAGAGAAACATGAAGCCATGAGAGCGAGCAGACGGCTTCTGTTTGAAAATGTCACCAATCCATCAATCTGATAGGTAAAGGCCAGTCGTCTCATTATACAGTGTGTGTGTGCGTGTGTGTGTGTGTGTGTGTGTGTGTGTGTGTGTGTGTGTGTGTGTGTGTGTGTGTGTGTGTGTGTGTGTGTGTGTGTGTGTGCCTTGAAGAAGAAAAGGCTGCTGGCCTAGCAAACACACACACGAGTTATGTGGTGCTTTTAATGAGTGTCTTGGGGATCATTCATAATTCATTTACAACAGGTTTGCTCTGAGTGTGTGTGTGTGTGTGTGTGTGTGTGTGTGTGTGTGTGTGTGTTTTCTCATCTATACATCAAAGTGAGGACCGACGACAAGCTTTTAACCTGCAAACTGAGGACATTTTGCTTTGGTACATGTTAGAGCTCTACCCGCTAGTTTTAGAGGTCTGGTGTGAATTATGCTTTAGTTAAGGTTAGGGTTAGGATAAGACTGGTTATGGTCAGAGTTAGGGTTAGGTACAATCCAGTCACTAAAATGAATGGAAGTCAATGATGGTCCTCATGACGAATGCTAGACGTACGTGTGTGTGTGTGTGTGTGTGTGTGTGTGTGTGTGTGTGTGTGTGTGTGTGTGTGTGTAACCCAGTAAAATAAATCGATCTGGATTCATTTAAAACATGTGAAACTGCTCAGTTTCTGCAAACCTTTACCAAAGCTAGCGACCAGTTTTCTAATGTTTAAAAATCATGTTTAATGTTTATTTCTGAAATATTGTGTGTGCAGTCGTAGTTTTCACGCCTCCTCTTTTGTTGGACTCCAACCAGTTTTATCCTCTCACTGCTCACTCAGCTCACGTCGTAGGGAAATGTCGTCTTCCCTCGACGGTGCAGACTTACGGCTGTCATCATCACGGTTCACCATCCAGCAAACGTTTTTTTCATCTATGAAACTAAAGCTTCTACTGTCAGGCTTTTCAGGTCGTAAACACCCATCAACGTCTGTCTGGAGACGGTCATTTGAATATTGAACCTTGGAAATTGAACTTAATATTATGGAAATAGAACTTTTCTTCTCTACTGTCTCTCATATTGAATGTTGCAGAGTGACTGAGTGTGTTTTTATCTCTACATCTCCTCGGATTTTAGATTAATTAATCCCGCCTCTTACATCGGACTTTTGCTCTCGCTGCTTTTCCCTGGATCAATAAATCAGATTTCACGTTAATAATCCTCTCCTCTGGCAGGTGCACGACTCTTCACTACGACTCTGACCTTCCTCCAACGTCCATCATCATCACCTTCCACAATGAGGCCAGATCCACGCTGCTTCGCACCATTAAAAGGTAAAACCTGTGGGTTGTTAATAGCTCAGTTGCAATAACAGAAACTGTGGTTCTGCTGGTTTTATACGTTTGTGCCTTTTGCTTCGGACTCATTTTGTTTTGAAATAATTCAGGTTTTTCTCCTAAATATTCTGGCTGTGAAGCAAGCAGAACTGATGTCTGAATGCTGGTAACAAGCCTTACAGATTTACTCTCAGGTGGAGCATCAAAGCGTCTGCTTTTAATGTCACTAAGACTATGGTGGGCACTTAATGCACTGTGATTTATTATCGTGATTCTTCAGTTAAGCAATGTTGATTATATATTTCTTCATCAAGTTGACGCAGTGATAGCTTGATCTAGTTGTATTGTTGTTGTGTCCCTTTTTTTTTGCCCTTTTGCTTTTTTTGTCTTTTTCTGCAGGTCTAGAAGCAGACTCTTGTTCATTATTGTTTATTTTTGTGGAACCCCCCCCACCCCCCCTCTCTCTCCCCAACTTTTCCTTTCTCTTTCACCTCTGTCTCCGTGTCTGGTCGGAATTACAAAGCATTCAAAAACAATAACAATAAAGTTTTAAGTATCAGGTGTAAATATATCGTTATCGCAATATCAGCATGCACAATATGCATATCACAAAGAACAGAAAAATATCGCAAGAATGGTCAGCTCAAATGTTTGCTACACATAATTTGTTCTGTCAATAAAATGGAAGCATGATGTTTGTTTTAACAAATCAAATAGAGCTCTTAACCCATTTTGCCAATCGGGTGGGTTCTCATAGGTTAGAGTCCCGCCCCCGAGGCGGACGGCACTTAATTTAGATGGTTAGCAAACACCTGAGTTAGCTTTGTTCTGCTCTTTCTGCTGATTCTTCTTTTCCTGGGATTCACTGATTGCCTTTTCTTGTTCATTTTCATTTTCCCTTTCCTCACATCTTTAGTTTTTCCTCATTTTAGTGATTTTTAAATTTAGTTTTTGATTATTTTTGTTCCTGAATTAAGTTTTTACTTATCGCAAGTAATATCGTAATCGCAATATTAATCACTGTTATTGCATATCGCAGGTTTTCCTAATATCGTGCAGCCCTACTGAATATGTTTCTTTGCTGTTTGTCTTAAAGTGTTATTACTCCAGAGGCCCCCTCTCTCTATGCCTCATGCATATTTCAGGGCTTTGAACGGACTTTTTATTTTTGCTAGGTCTCATGCAGCAAAACAAAGTCAAAAGCTTGTAGTGATGACAGACCATCACGCTCTGCCTCTTCATGCTGCGCCGGTGTTTTGGTAAAGATTAAATCCAACGGTCAGCGAGGATGTACGACGCATCGGTATTGAGAGTTGGGTCGTCGTTGGTCTGGTTCTGGGTTTCTAGGCTCAAAGGTGCATAAGAATTTACAGTTAGACATAACTTAAGCTTCTCATTAATGTATTACTGAGTATTTTCACCGAACAGCTAATCAGAGTAACACTACCCATCAAACATTGGTCCGACGACGACGTCGTGTCCACGGCCAAAAATAGTCATGGTAGGACGGTCCAAATAAAAAAAAATTAACATAACATTTCCTAAAGATCCACTCAAATTTGTAGTTACATATATAATTGTTACGTGTAATTCACGTTCAAAAAAGACGTCGGTTCAACTTTCATTTTGGAACTATTTTTCAACCATGACGGGACGTGTCGGCCCGACGACTTTTCAACGTTGATTAAACGTCCGGATGTTTGCTGGGTAGCTACGTTTGCATGGGCATGAGTAATCTGAATAAATGCCCTATAAGTTCAGAAATTCTTCATGTAAACATATCAGTCGGAATATTCTGATCGGATCCTGCTCAATCGGAATTAAATTCCATTCCGATTGAGAGAGGTGGTTTTGTCCGATCATCATTCCGATTGACGTCCTTGTACACCCTCGTTCGGATTCTTGGATTATAATATTGCCCACTGCACACGTGTGCTACTTGGGTGTGACATCTTTCTGCCTTTGCTGGTGTTCAGGACAAGTGGAAAAGTTTGCAGGAGGTAAACGGACATTATCCTGCTCTCATCTCCTGTGGCAGTGGAGCGGTAGCGTTATGTACCGCTGAGCCTGTAGCTCAGTAAAAAAAAATAAAAAGGCGAACGGGTCAAAATGTGAAGAAGGTCAATAATGGGGGGCGTAAGTAAACAGGCAAAGCTAGAAAATAAGAAATAAAATGAGAAGGGAAAGACGTGCAGGCAGGATGGTGTTTGTTTACAATTTGTTTTCCGGTAAAGAACTCATGCACATGCTCACCCGGTTTAATCTGACTGAATACCTGGTGCATGAATACTCACAGGAGGATTGGATCATTTCAGTTAGTGTCCATGTAAACAGAGATTTGGGATTTCCAATCAACCAAGATTTCAATCGGATATGGGAAATTTGGCCCACGTATATATAGCTAATGACGTGACGAGTGACTCTGGACAGAAAATCTAGAAGGTTCAAACAACTCAACAAAAACAGGAGAGGAACGACTGTGGTGCTGCAGGTTCTCAGCGGATTCTGATTTACCAGTTTCATGTTGGCTGAACTGACGTTGGACTTCTGATGAGAAAGAAAAGAAACGATAAAAATCTAGAACTAATCTAGGAAAGTAAAATATTAAATAATGTGATTAAACCTCCTCTGGTGTCGGGTTACATGTACCGTATTTTCCGGACTATAAGCCGCTACTTTTTTCCCACGCTTTGAACCATGCGGCTTATAATGAGGTGTGGCTTTACTGAAGATTTTCCTTCACCTGCAGGGGGCGCTCTAGCAGAAAGTGAAACAGGTGGAAGTCAAAAGTGGAAATCGAAGAAAGTGCTCATTTTAATTTAGCACATGCAAGCAGCCGGCACCACGAAGAATTTTTTTCAAATCCACGCCCCCTCATCATGGTAACTACACGTATGAGTTCATATGTTGCCGCATTTAAGTTGAAGGCCATCGATCTGGCAGTAAAGGAGGGAAACAGTGCTGCCGCACGTGAGCTTCGCATGAATGAATCCATGGTTCGGCGCTGGAGACGGCAGCGGGAAGAACTCATTCAAGCCAGCTTCACGCGGGGATGATGACAGCAACACGGACAGCGACACAGACATCACCACAGAAAAGGTATGTGACTAAGCTCTTCTGAGGCTGTTCAACTCCGACACTGAAGAAGAGGACTTTAATGGCTTTAGTGCGCAAGAGGAAGATGAGAGCGAATGACTTTTTCTGGTAGGCAGGTGTGTTTTATTTACTAACCAGGCATGCTTTGTGTGCAGTTTTTAATTTCTAATCATCCAGGGCTTATTAATGCTGTGGCAGTGCTGTTCTTTTCTTCTAAACATGCATGCAAGTTACCGGTAATAACGTGTCAGTTCTGTTTTTATTTTCTAACCATCCAGAAATATGAATGCTATCAGTGCTGTTTTCTTTTCTAAACTTGCAGGCACGTTCACCCGTGTTTAAAATTTGTTTTGTTGAATTAAAACAACAACGAAAAACCTCCGTGTAGCGTCTTTCTGTCTAATTATCTTATGTTATGGCCATACATGCGCTGTGCGCCGGAGACCTGCATGTGGCTGCTGCACCGCGGCTTGTATTTGAGTGCGGTGTGTGTGTGTGGAAAACCTTTTTTTTGTTGTTGTTGTGCGCTTATATTGAGGTGCGCTCTATAGTCCAGAAATTACGGTATCTGGATTTGGTAATGATGCAGCACAACTAAAAACAAACACACACATACACATACACACACACATACACATACACACATACGCACACACACATACGCACACTTACAAGAATGGACCTGACCCTGAGTCTTTGTTGTGTCTTTTATTTTGATGGTATCAGCAGGTTACCAACCAACAGTCAGCTCAAGGCACACACTGAGGAGAACACACACACACACACACACACATGCACACACACAGAGGAACACACTTTCTGTGTTGGCTCAGGTTCAGCTCATTATACCAGTCCGTCAGCAGGGACCGGCTACGTCTCCGTACTATCACAGAGGACAGCATGCGTGTGTGTGTGCGTGTGCGTGCGTGTGTGTGTGTGTGTGTGTGTGTGTGTGTGTGTGTGTGTGTGTGTGTGTGTGTGTGTGTGTGTTCTCCCCTTCAGTTCTTCTCAAAGCTCTGCAGTTTTCAACCAATTAAAAGACAATCTGTCTCTCTGGGCCACCAGTCTCCCTTTGGCTCTGTGTGTGTGTGTGTGTGTGTGTGTGTGTGTGTGTGTGTGAGCTGGGAGTAGTTTAGCGTTTGCTTATTTTTATTTTGTGATTTGGAACATTTTCTCTCACCGGGGCGCTCTGGGCCTCGGAGACTTCAACTCGACATGAAAACGTTTGAAGATGAGCAGAAAGTCTTCTCTAAAAGATTAAATTTGTCCTGTAATTCTGTGACATTTTTATTTAGCTTCTTAACTTTAACCAGTTGGTTTATTATAACTTGTTTGCATCTAAATTTAAAATCAAATACAGTTTGTACTGAAACCGCCTTTATGGGTCTGTGGCTTAGCGTCCTCATTTGTTCGTGTCACGAATTTAAAAACAGAAAAAAACATTTTAGCTCTTCTGGTGACAGAGCTCAGAATAATTTTTTTTTTTTCAGAAAAGTGTATAAAAATATAAAACCTTATGCGTGTCACTGAGCTGTGTTGGTTGGAGACCAGTTTCAGACACAAAGATGAAAGAAATTACGACTGTTTAAAATGTCTATTGTGTTTGTGTGATGTTACTGCAAACAGATTTGGACAGTATAGAGCTAAACAATCCTGTATAAAGTCAGCTTTTTAACCTGTTAACAATTCCTGCAGTAAAGCAGTAAGTTGAACTTTATGGGATCTTTCAGTGTTGCCTGTTTGGTGATTTATTTAACTTTTATTACTTTTTTACTATGGCGATACCACTAGTGTGTTTCTGAGCATGGCATTTACACACACAGGCACGCAGATAGCGTGGGGGACGGGGGGGATCTGTCCCACCCAGATTCAGGTCGACCCCGATCCGTCCCCCCCAACTA